TAAGGAACCAAAAATAATATCAGAAGCTGCATGTTAACACAATCCTCAGGTGCTTTGCCCACATTACATCTGGAGACCAGTGTGTCTCAAACACCAAATTACAGGGGAACCTAGGGGACTCAGTCGGTTGAGCGTCCGACTCTTGATTTCAGCTCAGATCATGATCCCAGGGTCAGGGGACCAAGCCCCTCATTGGGCTCTGCAGTGAGCATGGAGCCTGCTTAAGATTCTCTCTCTCTCTCTCTCTCTCTCTCTCTCTCTCACTCTGCCCCTCTACCCCACTTATGTGTTCTCTCATTCTCTATCCCTCCCCAAAAAAAAAAAAAACTTAAAAAATAATTACAGGGGCACCTGGGTGGCTCAGTCGGTTGAGCGTCCGACTTCGGCTCAGGTCATGATCTCATGGTTCGTGGGTTCAAGCCCCGCATCGGGCTCTGTGCTGAGGAATAGTTCGGAGCCTGGAGCCTGTTTCAAATTCTGTGTCTCCCTCTCTCTCTGACCCTCCCCTGCTCACGCTGTCTCTATCTCAAAAAAATAAATAAATAAAACATTAAAAAAAATAATTACAGACTCTGAGGTCTGAGGTCTGAAACTCTGTATCTTCAACAAGTTCCCAGGTGACAGCGATGCTATCAGTGAATGATGCTTTGATTAGCAAAGATCTGCTTTGGAACATCCTCTATAAAGCCCAGTTCTGGGATGAAACATGGGAGCAGATGGGTTCCAGCTGCCCACCACCACCAACCCCGTTTCTCAACCCCCAAACAGATAATGCATGTGGAACACTATGCTAAATGCTACACAAAAGCAAATCCACCTAATAGACACTCAGGCCTTGGCTAAAAGGTTCTTGTAATCTCTTTTTTTTTGGGGGGGAGGGGAGGGCAGAAGCTCATGCACATAAAAAATTAATCAATATAAGAGGTCACATGAATGTCTGAGACAATGAGACATCAGTGGGCAATTCTGACAAATGTTATGAATGTCCAGAAGGGATACCCCAACCCCTCTCATCCTTCACAAGAGGAGGGACCCGGAGCTCCATGCCCAGGAAGCAGGAACTTTGAATAAGTTCAAGCACAGAAAGAAATTCAGTAAATGTTGCCAGCCAGGAACACTTAACATCATTCCTGCGGCCCACAATCTGAGGCTAAAATAATTAATATAATATGAGAAATTATAGGGCAATGAAAATGGAAACAGTGGAAATAAGATTCTTGCTAGCAGCCCTAGATGTACTCTGAGGGTGATGCAGGCTGTGGCTGACCCTTAAGTCTCTTATAAGCCATGAAGACCAAAGGAAAACCAAGAGACCAACACCTTAGAACATGCTGCCTTCAAGTGTTTCACTCATATAGATTCTTAGGCATCTGAATATTTCCCCCCGCCACATCGGCTCAGAACTGCACCCCTACTCGGCAAGAGAGGCATCTGAAACTGGCATCCTCAGAAGCAACGTCATCCTTCCCTCCTTGGGCTTGTACCATGCAGATGCTGAATCCCTAAGATGGCGTCCAGATGCCGCAGCCCAGCCAGCAGTCAGAGCTCTCTCCCCAGAACCCACCTCCTTTCCAGCGCTCTCTCCCACCATTCCTCGGCCCTAACCCTCTGCTCCCCATAGACTACCAGCTGCTCCCTCCCCTCCATTCCCACATCCAGTGCCATCTTTGTTCGCAGCTCACTCCTTGTCCTTGCTACTAAGGTCAGCTCTGCTGCTAGGGACCAACCCATCCCTCGGCCTCTGCATACCGCACTGCTGCCCTGTACCCCCACACTTGGCCCCAGCCCCACCCCTCCACAGTCGGGGACCACCCAGCCCCAAGTGCCATCCCCTACCATCACCACTCAACCCCCTCTGCGCACCTCCTTGAGCACGGTTCTCTCTTTTGTTCCTTCCCTTTCTTGCTGGCCATGAGCGCTTGGGCTAGAATGATCTCTCACTTCTATCCTTATGCTTTCAAGTCACTTGCAGAGTCCCTCGCACATCACAGGTGCCCAATAACAGTTACCACTTTTGTAAGTAAAGCTGTGACCCAAAGTCCTTGGGTCCCACGCTGCTCTCCAGCCCCACGGCTCCTTGTACATCACCACCGTCCATTCGCAGCTCATGCTTTTCAGAACATTGTTGGAGCCCAGTTAATCTAGAAATGTCCAAGCCAGCTGCACACCTGACCTCCTCTCTCCTGGGCAGGCTTGTTCCCTCAATTTCTAACTAGTCTCTCCTCTCCTGCGTGGCACACCCGCAATAGCTGTGGCTCTCTGATTAGTCAGACACTGGTCCTCACCTTGTCTTTCCTATAATGATCCTGGCACAGCCAAACTCAAAAATCTCGGATGCCAAGGTTTATGTAGCAATGTGGTCACAGCGCCTCTTTTATCTCAACCGTAACGTGCTCTGTAACAAGCAGACACCTCCCAGGTTTGTCCCGGTCATGGCTCCGAATGTCACCCATCCCCACACCACCCCCACCTGCAACCACCCCCCCCCCAGGCTGCACTGTCCCCATGCCCTGGAAAACACGTCCTCCGAGACACCTGATATCAGAACCTCCCATCCAAGACACTCGTGAGAAACAGACCAGTCCTCGGCCACTTGCAGTGGGAGAAAGACGGCTTCTAAGTCACGAAGGAGAATCAAGCCCCGGTTGGAAACACAAACTTTTCCTTTAAAGGAGAAGCTCACATTGGCAGTCCTGCTCTTTTGAGCTGGAAGAGCCATTTGGGGAGAGAGAGGAAAGGAAGATGGTGTGAATGACAAATGGAGAGAAGGAGACAAAAAGAAAAAAGCGAGAGGAGGGAGGCGTGGGGTGGGGAGGAGGTGGGGGGGGCAGACTAAAAGAACGAAGACCCCCGGAGGAGAAGGGGCAGAGGGGGAGGGGAGAGGAGGGAACGACGAAAGGGGAGGAAAAGGCGGGGAAGACAGGCTGGTCGTTCTGCCGGCTCACGAACGCTGGCCTCCAGTCCCGTGGCGAGCTTGACCGTGTCCCCCGGGCGCTCTAACAGCCACGAGGGGACAGAGTCTCCATAGGCTTATGTAACACTGGGCTGGGCTGGATGGATACCAGAGCCCCGCCCTGGGGCCCAAAACAACCAACCAAACATAACCGGAGGAGCTGATCTCCAAAGGCTATCGGTAACCTCTGCTCTCGGTATTCATGGCAGATGCCAACCTTGACCGTACGTTCAGATCAGCCCCATGTTCTGGAGCATCTATTAATAACACCGCCTTTCCCTCACAAGTGTTCCCATTTAGATGCTAAATTACTTGGTCCTCCTATTAATAGGAGACACAGGAAACTGAGACTGAAGCCTCTGGACAGAATGAAATACTTAATGTCGTCATTCTCAGAAAAGGAGCAAGAGACCAGAGGGACTCTGTCCCGGGAGAGCAGAAGGACTTGAGATAGTTGTCGGTGTAACATGATAGTGGAGGTGGGGGGCGGTAGCCAGACGAGGCTTTACAAGACAAGGCGGTAGATGGTACAAGCCGTGGATACTGATAGTAATTTCTGGAAACAGTCGCCTGAGATTGGGTAGCAGGGGAAGAAAAGGCCACGGTGACAGTTTCTGAAAGGTAAAGTGGAACGATCCATAGATGAATCATGTCTGAGGAATCTCGTGTAATAGAAAAAAGTCTGCAGTAACTTCTAGTTGGTGGTTACATTGTAGCTATGACTTATTCATTCTCAGCTGCACATCATGAAGGCTCCAGTCCAGCCGTTTTAGCTCTTCTGGTATCAAGAGTCTATCTGAAGTCTATTGGAAGAGAGGGAGGGAGGGGTGAAGGAAGGAAGGAAGGAAGGAAGGAAGGAAGGGAGGGAGGGAGGAACAAATGAAAGAAGGAAGGAAGGAAATACATTAGTTTCAAGGCAATCTTTGAGAAGAAAGGGACCCAAGGTATTTTATCATCACAAGGAGGTGAAGGAGAAATGTGGAAGGGGTTTAGTCCTTCGATAATAAATGGCAAGGAGTATATAACCCAATGAGCATCCTGAGAGTGAGAAGCAATCTCCTGGAAAATGTGAGAAAATGCCACTTTTCCCTCCTGCCCTCATCCTTCACCCTCAAGGACTCACGGCTCCATATTATTTACTCAGCCATCTACTCATTCAGCAAGTTCTACGGGAGCCATAAGGAGTAAGCCAGCGGGTTCCCCCCGAGCGTCTTCTGTGTGCCAGACCCTTGCTGGATGCAGAGATGGACGTGTGAAGGAGACAGGGTTTCTGCCTTCGGTGAGCTCCAGGCTGGAAAGGTCTCAGACTCGTGGACTTACTACAAGTTTAGATTCATTAGTCATTAGTGGAATCCAACTCTGCTAAAGGATGAACTGAGAAGTCCCATGCAGCCAAGATTCACCCGGAGCAGACCACCCTGAGGTGGGGGAACGCTTCCTAGTTCCTCATGGACGCATAGATGCTCTGACGTGCCCCACACACCTCTCTCTGCCTTGAGTCCCAGAGCTAAGTAAGTACCCCAGGTCAGGTTTTCATTCCCTCAAAGCTTATTACAGAACTCTGGTTCGATTACCCAGATTTTAATAGTTCTCTGAATTATTATTTTTCTCTAAGCCATCTCAAATTATTGCTGGATGAAGGCAACTTGTAAAAACAATAAGTGAATGTAATTGTAGTATTAGGAGAGACCTAGATGGATGTGGGAACCCTGAGATTCCAGTGGACCCTGTCGAGACAGGGAAGGTCAAGATACCCTGGGCCACTCGGAGTCAGGGAAGACACCCCAGGATCAGCCGCTAATTGAGGTTAGCCACATCTGGATCCATGAGCGTGAGGAGTGAACTGACATTCAACATCATACAATCCGAACCATGGTCTCCTCTGATACCAGCTCTCGGCACAGAACCCACGTGCTCAACATTCCCTGTGACACCAGCCAGCTAAGTGAGGGGCTCCAGAGAGCCCACACTGGCAGCAGGTGGAGTCCCCTCCTCCCCTCGCCTCCAGTCTCATGGGGTGACAGCTTCAGTGACTGGCCTTACTTACATCCATGGGTGCAGAACATTCTCTGAGGAACGGGGTCCTTGACGACAGTTAACTTCTGCGTGTCTTCAGTTGTCGCAACGTCTTTGCGTCAAGCCACAAGCCTTGGAACTTTCTAGAGCATGGAACCCCAGGCCGCTTATAGATATCCCTTTATGGAAGGGGAAGAAAAGGGAAAGCAATGTTGCATTACAAACTTTGCTTCACTCACACTTTCTGTCCAACACAACGCTGTTGTGCTCGACTGTCACACAGAGACCCCCACAAGTACCCCGGTCACTGATGGGGTCGCAAAGAGGTTCTGTTTAGGAGGGCTGCACCTGTTGATATTTATCAGTTTAGAAATTAGGAGCCCCTGGGTGGCTCAGTTGGTTAAGCGTCCAACTTCGGCTCAGGTCATGATCCCACAGTCAGTAGGTTCGAGCCCCGCATCGGGGTCTGTGCTGACAGCTCAGAGCCTGGAGCCTGCTTCAGATTCTGTGTCTCCCTCTCTCTCTGCCCCTCCCCAACTCGCTCTCTGTCTCTGTCTCTCATAATAAAATAAAATAAAATAAAATAAAATAAAATAAAATAAAATAAAATAAAATAAAATAAAATAAATAAAATAAAATAAAATAAAATAAATAAAATAAAATAAAATAAAATAAAATAAAATAAAAAAGAAATTAAAACAGAATGTTAAGGGGAGGCTGGGTGGCTCAGTCAGTTGAGCATCCAACTTCGGCTCAGATCATGATCTCACGGCTTGTGGGTCCAAGCCCCATGTTGGGCTCTGAGCTGTCAGCACATATTCTTCGGATTCTGTGTCTCCCTCTCTCTCTGACCCTCCCCTGCTCATGCTGTCTCTCTCTCTCTCCCTCTCTCTCTCTCAGAAATAGATTTAAAATTTTTTTTAAATTTTTTAAATAAATAAATAAATAAAACAGAATGTTAAATTTATCAATTACTTAAAATAATAATTATTCCATTTTATTATTAATGTGTAATTTCTTAAAAATTATTGTTAAATTATTGTGATGATTATATGTGAATGTATTTTTTAAATAAAAATAGCTATTTTCAAAAAATGCTTATTGGGAACAGTGGCATTATTTAACATTTAAAAAAATCTCATTGAGGGGCACCTGCATGGCTCAGTCAGTTGAGCGTCCAGCTCTTGATTTCAGCTCAGGTCAAGATCCCAGGCTTATGGGATTAAGCCCCATGTTGGGCTCCACACCGGGCATGAGACCTGCTTGGGATTCTCCCTTTCTCTCCCTCCCTCTCCCTCCCTCCCTGCCTTTCTCCTGCTCTCAAAATAAATACACTTAAAATCTCACTGATATCTGGCTTAATCGAAGACAGATTTTCACATCCGCTTCTGAATTCAATTTGTTGCAATATCACATATCACGTACCCTCTCAAAAATTCCACCATATAATCATGGGAGAGGGAGAGTGAAACAAAGCCAAGTATCCTAGGATTGTTGGGAAAATAGTTTTGTTCTCATGGATCCCCTGGGAAGGTCTCCAGAGCTCCCAGGTCTGTCCAGACGGCCCTTGAACCACCATCGCATACGATCAGAGTAGGTCTCACTTCCCCCTTGGACTATCACAACTAGTGATGCCACTAGTTATCAGTTACCTGAGAAGTCTTCTAGAACTATCTACACATAAATGTAAATATGTGGATGTACAGTTCTTATTAATTTTTTTAAAAAATTAAGTATGAGCACCCTCTACCTCTCACCTAGGGTGTTCTGTTACACATGTTGGGGTACCTGCATTCTAGCATACGTCATTATGTCATTTCCTTCATTTCTGCAGGTCTCTGTTCTCCACTAGATGGATATGACACTGGGTAACTCTGTATGGTGCCACAGTGTTCAGATGGGTTACTGAACCTCTACTCTGAGTTGCCATTGTCTTCAGTGAAAGACACGGAACTTAATGGGAATAAAGTGGCCTGGCAGGAAGAACAGATGCCACATATATTAGTACAGCTCCCTTCTGCCTTCTAGTTCCCTAAGAAGGCATGCAACTGAAGTATTCAAAATTTGAAAAAAATATCCAAATTTTTGCTTTATTACTGGGGCTTGCCAAGTATTATACTTAGGGCTTATTCACTGTGGCAGAAAGGCTTGTGTTAACCATCTCTGTTCCTATTTAAAAAAATTTTTTTTAATGTTTATTTATTTTTGAGAGAGAGAGCCAGAACATGAGTGGGAGAGCGGCAGAGAGAGAGGGAGACACAGAATCTGAAACACCCTCCAGGCTCTGAGCTGTCGGCACAAAGCCTGATGTGGGGCTGGAATCCACCAACCATGAGATCATGACCTGAGTCAAAGTCAGACGCTTAACCAACTGAGCCACCCAGGCATCCCTCTCTGTGCCTATTTTCATAGGAATGTTTAGAAACACCAACCTCTCTTGAAACACATTCACTGTCATCAGTGTCACATAATTGTGGAGCCAAGAAGGCAGGATCGGGGGGCAGCTGGGTAGTTCAGTCGGTTAAGCGTCCGACTTCAATTCAGGTCATGATCTCACCGTTTGTGGGTTCGAGCCCCGCGTTGGGCTCTGCACTGACAGCTCAGAGCCTGGAGCCTGCTTCAGATTCTATGTCTCCCTCTCTCTCTGACCCTCCCCTGCTCATGCTGTCTCTCTCTCAAAAATAAATAAAAAACATTAAAAAAAAAAAAGGCAGGATCAGGGTCTAAGTGTCCACAGACAGTATTTCTGAAAACAATTTCCCTGTCATACTAAGTTAACAGAGATTAACCCTGTTAGGTTATGACTTCCCTAACATAGAAACACGGAATACCCCTCACCTAAAAGAAACCCTTACCTCATAGGGATAAGTTGGTCTAATTACATTGCAGGCTGCAAACACTAAAACTTATGTAGATCAATGAGGGTTCACTTCCTCACTCTGAGATTTGTTAACTATAGAATCTTAGCTTCCACTTACTTGTAAAATTGAGAAGGGGATAATGATACCTATCTCATAAGTCATTAGGAATAAGTGGAGGGATACCTGGGTGGCTCAGTCCTTTGAACGTCTGACTCTTGATTTAGGCTCAGGTCATGATCAACCCCAGGGTGGTGGGATGGAGCCCTGCATCGGGCTCCACACTGAGCATGGAGCCTTCTTGGGATTCTCTCTCTCTCCGTCCCTCTGCTTCACTCCCCAAATCGCATGCATTCTCTCTTTCTCTCAAATTAAATTAATAATAATAATTGTAATTATCTATAAAATGTGCCTACCACATAGTAGGTATTCAATGCTTGGCAATTGGTAGCCCCTTCCTTTTTTGTTCTACGAACAGAAATAAGATAGGAGACTGATCTTATGTCCTGGACTGGGCTAGCTTTTCACGGAAAATCTCAGTGGTGTAACCTCTTAGAAAGCCTGGAGATTTAAAAGACTGGGGCAAGAGAAGATGGTAGAGATTTTTTTTTTTTCCTACAAAAAGGATTTCCTGAGATGATGGTCATCATCTGATGCTGAACAAGAGACACAGGTGTGCTTTCCGACATTTCTGTTTCAACCTTCTAGTCTGCCTCCGAACCCACACAGGACAGTATGCTTTGCACTTTGAAGTTCACAGGCCCTAGAGAAAACCCCCCAGGTTTGGAGGAGCCCCCTGGGTGAGGCTGGGAAAAGAGAGATTTACCCCTGAACGATTCCTAGGAGTAGGACCAGCGGCTGCAATAAGCACGGGACGGACGCATCATGACCTCCGCTTACAGACGAGGAGACTAAGGTTTGGAGACGCTAGGTAAATTTCCCGAGGTAGGCACAGCTAACAAATGCAGAGTCAGAATTCAGAACCAGGGCTGTCCTACTCCAAAGCCCGGCTGTGGATCCGTGTCATGGCGCGTGGCATTCTCCATCTAGAAAGGACACCAGACCCGCTGTGAACCAGCAAGGCCAGTGGCTTCATAGAGACGGTCTCACAAGAGAGACAAATTATCTGTAGCTGTAAGTTAATGGTTTTATCACCCCAATATTGTAACTGAAATCAAAATCAAAGTTCTTCAGAATATCATCCCTAAGCTAGATACAAAAGTAAGAAGAGCAGGACACCAGAGCCGAGATTTAGTTAGCTTGGGATTTGTACATTATTTATTTTATTTAATTAGTGTTTGATTGGGTCAGTTATTAAGATTAATAGGTTGTTTCCGTTTATAGATTATTCTTTTTGAATAATAGATAAATCACGTAATATTGATCCAATATAGTTTCTAGCTCCTAGAGTGTCTCAGGTGCTACAGATGCTATAGATGAAGAAAACATGTCCCTTGGCCCCAAAGAAGGTATAATGCATATGATAAGATATAATGGATATAACCATATATGTCTTTGGGTTGGTGAGGTTATAAGATAGACAAGAACAAGGTACTAAAAGGAGAAATCCAGCCAGTGGGGGGTTCAGGAAAGACCTGAAGGAGTGAGATGGCATTAGTTAGCTCCCTCTTGAAATATGAATAGGATTTTGCCAGCCTTGAAGAGAGGGGTGGCAAGGCCAGAGAGGCGATGGGCTTGCCCTGCCAGGGGGGGTGCTGTAGACGAATGACAAGGGGCAAAGCGCCCAGACAGAGCCTGACACAGAATAATGACGTCTGGAAGGGAAAAGAAATAAATAATAATGTGGAGAGGATTGAGGGTTGACCGGTGACTGGCTACTGCAGGGAAGAAGGGAAGAGTCAAAGGCACCCAAGTTTCCAATGTGCGTGTGACCAGGAACAGGTCACTATCAATAAAAGCTGAGGAAACGGGAAGAGGAACTGGTGTGTAAGGGAAGAGCATGAGTTTGGTTTTGACCATGAACGGCTGGTTTCCTTAAGATGGAAACAGGCAGGGGCTTCTGGCTGGCTCAGTCAGTTAAGCATTCAACTCTAAATTTTGACTCAGGTCATGATCTCATGGTTTGTGAGATCGAGCCCTGCACTGGGCTCTGCACTGACAGCGTGGAGCCTGCTTAGGATTCTCTCTCTCTCCGTCTCTCTCTGCTCATCACTTTCTCTCACCCTGTCTCTCAAAATAAAATAAAAACACTTTTTTAAAAAGATGGAAACAGGTAAACACGCTGAAGAGACAGAAATTTGGGTCTGGC